ATGCACTCACCGCTCTGTACCCAATTATGCTCAAGCAGCGGTCTCATCACATTTCAGACGCACTCCCAGGAGCCCCCCACCCCCAGCCCCATGCATCCCCGCTGGGTGCCGAGCAAGAGGACCATATGGAGGGAATAATAAGACAATTAACTTTCCATTAAAGAATAATATATGTGGGTTTTTACGGAGGCAAGCGACAGCAATCCCTACCCAGCGGCATATTTCACACCCGCGCCCCCTACAATCCCCCACCCTGACGCGCCCCACATCTTGATCATCTGCGCCAGGAGAGAGGAGGGTGCCATTGGGCCTCACCAGGAGGTGGCTGGATTGAGGGGTGGGGACTGCACAATGAGCAAGTGCAGAGGTTCTACGCAAGGGTGATAGTTGTGAGTCTGCAGGGGCCCTAGGGAGGGCTTGGGTAGGGTTCCCTCACCACCTCTAGTTGATTCAGCATGTCAGCTAGGGCAGCCCCTGCCAGTCTTATGTAGGGAAGGTCTTCCCGGTCAAGGAACTGCTGCCTGTCTCTCAGGAGTGTGTATGAACCGCAGTGCCCTGAAGGAAGAATCCACTGGGAAGCCTGGAGTCACAACCTTTGTATTCCCCTTGCCTGGCACTCCTGGGGCTGCTTCATCCCCTAGCACCTCCTCTTCCCTGCCTCCTTCTTCCTATTCTATTCTAGCCCCTCCATTTCTGAGGTTCCTTGCCACTCTTGGCATTGCTAATCTTGCCTGAGATGACCAGATGTGCAGAAAGCACCTCCTCAAGTAGGGACAGATCACAGCTTCAGCCTGCAACTCTGGAGCAGGTATGAGTGTGCAGAAGTGCCAGCTGGGGAGGAGGGGAGAGTGAGGCAGTCTGTCTAAAAGGCACCTGCAGAGAGGCCCTGTCCTGCCTCCCTGAGCCCCATGTGAAAGGGGCCCTAGATATGGCCAGACTTTGGTTTATGTTGGGAGGCAACTCCAAATGTTGTACTCTGCAAATATTAATTACCCATTCCCTGAACACTAAGCAGATGGGGTGCAGGGATGGCCAAGGGTGGACAAGATGGGGCAAGACTGTGCCATCATCACTGGTGCAGAAAGACCATTCTTGGTGTATTACTGTAATAGGTGGGGACCCATGGACACCGTGGGCCTGAGTCACCATGACTGTCTAGAGGGGCATGGTGGGGACAGTACAGCAGGAGACTTGTAGCTGGAGATCTCTGAGTCCTGGAGTCCTGCTCTGTGTGGAGGCAGACTTAGCATCTCGCTGGGTAGTTCTTCTGTCTTGACAATCCATCTGGGCTCCAGGATGGGACTGGCTAGTAGAGACGGTTGGCTAGGGCCTTGGTTTTCCCATCTGAATGATAGAGCTACAGGAATAACCAGCAGCATACAGCTGGATTAAGGTCACTGTGCAGGCCATTTCTGCCCTGACCAGCAAGTGAGGTACAGGGGGTTGCATGGACTGGTGCTTTCTCAGAGCATAACTTGTGGCTCTCAGACATGACTACCCTAGGTCCCAGTTCGCGGTCAGCTCTAGCCAGGCAACTTCTCCTCACCCCCACTCCAAGCAGAGGGTCTTCTCCCCTCCAAGGAGGGTATCTCTCTAGGTCTGAAACCCATCCCACTGCTAGTACACCTGATGGGCAAACCTGATGGTGCTTCATCTCTCCTGCTTTGCTTTCCCACAAGGTCCCAGAGTTGTTCTTCCTACTTCCTAGACATTTGCCACAAGGGGATAGGTCCCTGGCTACATCCATCAGAGTAACCTGGGATTCAGAGAGGGGAGATCTGCCCTTCTCCACATCCTCCCCATGCACCCCCAGGAACCTGATGAATTATTTATCCTGATCAGCCTCATTATGTAAATGAACTCAGAGCCTAAGCATATGCTCTCTGCTCTCCCCCCAGGATGGGGACAATATGGTGCTGATGGGGGAGGGTGGAGAAGGAGTTCAGGAGACCTAGATCAGCTCCAGGTACTCTGGAAGGGACAGATTGCTCAGGATCCACATTTCTGTAGTCTATTTAGGGCAGAATGTGCCGGGGATGGGGATTGGGCTGGGGTACCCAGGAAAGAGTGGCTCAGAGGTGTTTGGCTAAGCATGAGGGTGGGGATGGCAGGTGAGCACCAGGCCACCACAGGAGCACAGGCTAGGCTCTGGCCCAGGGGGAAGATGAAGAAATGGGATGGGGTCTTCTTCAGACAGCCCCCATACCCTACCAAGATATGCTAGATTTTCCAGCCTGTAAATGGGCCAAAGCCTGCCCCAAGCCATGCCTCTATGGGGTTGTGTTAAGGTCGGGAGGAGGAAAATGCCAAGGCAAGGAAAATGCTCCCAAATGCCACTGTCTGCAGTTTCTGCTCTCTTGCAGCTGCCAGCCCTCAAGCTCCAAGCTACTGGGGGTGGGGCAGCCTCTAGGATGAGGGCAGACATGGAGGGAACTCAGATACCAGATCACCCCAACAGCAGGTGTTTGGGGTAGCTCAGAATTAGCTTGGGGGGCCTGAAGAGGGGAAGCCCCAGTAGGGGCCAAAGTTGTCAGCTTGGCAGCTCTGGTGCCAGGGTCCCTGACAGCACTGGCAGCTGAGTCAGGGCTCTGCTCAAAGCATCCTCCTGACCTACTGGAGCCAAGCATGGGCTGGGCACACAGGCCCTCTCATGTGCATTGGAAGTGGGACAATGGTGTTAGGATCAGGGTCAGGTTTGAGCTATGGTGTGGGTAGGAGCCACTGGCTGGCTCCTTCCTATTCCCACAGGGTTGCCTTCTTCTTCTAGAAGAGATGAGGCACCTGTGCCCCCCCCCTCAATACCCCGGCAGAGTGCCCTGTGCCAAGAAACAGCCCCAGAGCTGTCAGCAAGAAAAGGCTAAAGAAGCAGGTGAGAAAAAACTGGAGCAGGACATAGCCACTGGAGAGCTGGCAGCCGTGTGCAGCAGAGGGGCTGCCAGGAGGAGCAGACACTGGGTCAGCAATTCTCTGCCTGCCTGACACACCAGGCATGGCCTGCTTCAGTCCAGTTCTAGAGTATGGGTAGCACCCTAGAGTCAGGAGCCAGGGTCTCAGCCACAGCTCTGCCTGAAGCCAGTTATGCAACAGCTTGGTCACTGCTGGGCGGGTGGGGGTGAGGGAAGATGTACTCATTGATGAAAGAGTCTAGAGTCACTCAAGTCATATCCAAAAGAATGGGAATGCATTCTGGGAATGATAATGATCAATGAGAGAAATTCAAATTTGATTTCTAGGAAAGGAAGCATATCTGCATCAACCTGCCCACTGCCATTCTTACCACCACATCCTCCAGGCAGACTTCCCAGACATGCCATGGGTCAAGAATGAGAATCAGAGTCCAGGTGTCAGCTGGACACACAAGATAGTTTTGCTGAGCCAGGATTCCATGCCTGGTCCTTACCATCCAAGAAAGTTCACTGGTCCAGAGAGATCCACATCTCAGGCATGAAGTGCGCACACTATTTTCTCACGGACAAGCATTCAGGGTCTGAGTTAGCCCTGAATACAAGATGAACAATGTCCTCAAGCTGAGGTTCAAAGAAGAAAGATTCTTAACTGGTACATCTAATGTCCCAACACGAAACTTGGAAAGGTGCATGACGCATGTTCCAGGGAACTACTCTTTCATTAACCTATACGTCCTGCACTTAGCAGTGCCCACTTAAAGCATGGTTAGTGCTGAGTGCTATTCCTGAGCCTAAACCAACTTCTGTTCCGGAACAGCTTTTTCCTACAGAGTGCTTTCTCTGGGAAGCTCTGCCGGCTTCCAAGTGCAGCTGAGTCATTGAGAGTTCACAGGAAGAGTGGGATGGGGGCTACTGCAATTCCAGCCCAGCAACCAGGAAAGGGAGGTGCAGAGACCTGGGTCATTGCAGGGAAAACACTGAGCAAGCTGATGGCTCCAGACTTGGATGCCCCTCCACACCATGTTACTCCCTCATTAACCATCTCCAATTAGCCCCATTTGTGCCAGGTACCTTAAATCCACAAGCAATGTCAACACACTGACACCCCCACTTCCTGGACACCTGCTAGAAGAAGCTAAGCATGGGGAAATGACTGAGGACAACCCCTGCAGTCCCTGCTCCCCAGAGGTTACATCTGCTGACCGTGGCCCTGACCAAGAGAGATGACAAGAACACATTGAGGCATCTCGTCACTGAAGTCTGGACCCAGACTGTCAACTGAACTCCTAACAGCTAACAGTAACTGACTTCTCTGCTGTTCCCAGGCCAACCTGAGCAGGAGATCCCCATTAATCTTCTGCTCAGCTCTGCCCAAGACCTCCCAGCCCACGCCCCAGTGAAGAGATCCCAGGGAGTCACGCCCCCACCACTCCAAGAGCGCACTTCTTTAAACCTCCGCATTTCCTCATAAAGAACGAAGGCTCAGGAGCCCTAGCCTGACAGCAACACATTTTGCAGCCTTCTGGGGTGACGGATGGCCTGCTCTTCACATCACTATTTCAAACATTAACATAATCTCCCAGGATGAATGTGGTCTGCTGGCGCCTAATCAATCACCCCTCCTGCACCTTGATTCCTTATCCTACTGCTGAGCACAGGCCTGCCACTCCTCGAGGACTCAAGTGCCTTGAGTACTGTTCTAACCCTATTTCCAGGGCTTGTTTGGCCTGACCATCCCATTTGCTTCCCAGTGAGTGCCTTGGGCTTCCACACACCCTGCGGCTACTGGCCCCTGGAGGATCTGGGCTCCCACCCCATGTGCTGCCTCAAACACAAGAGCTCACCCAGCTGGAGACTTGAGAAGCCCCAACACTCTCCCAGGGACAAAGGTCATCAGAGCTGATGGGCCACCCCTCCAACAGTTACCTAGAGGATAGACCTAGACCCCCAAGGACTCACCAATCTAGGTCTAGGGGTACCCTACCAGGCAGAGACCTCAACATTGCCCAATCTTCCTCATTCCTTATTTCAACATCCTTTCCTTATTCTCACTTGGAAGGGTCTCTGGAGGGAAAGCAAGCATGACAGACTTACCTCGCGGAGCTGCTGGACCCCTCCAAAAATCCGCATCACACCGTCAATCTCCTGCTCTAAGCGCCGGGCCCAGTGCTGCATCCTGCATTCAGAGAGAGAGATGTCAGGAGGGTCTACCAGAGCTGCGGCAGCCCAGCCCCTGCCACCCAGCAGGGACCAGAGCAGCCACTTACTCAACCCAATTTTCACTAGGACAGAGACAAAGGCAAGGAACCAGAATGTGCCTGTGATTCCCTTTGAAGTCCCTGGCCCAGTGGCCTAGGCTCTCCTCACATACTGATGGGAAGTCAGAGAGGAGAGAGAAGTACATTGTAAATGCACTGAGGGAGTTAAACAGCTTGAAGAAAACCTGCAGGGGAACTATTTTTCACTGTGAAGAGCCAGCCCTTGATGTAACTGCTCTGAACATGGGGATTTCTGAACACCAAAGAGGAAGGAGGCATGAGGTTGGGCCTGAGGAAGGGGAAGAAACACTGCTGTCACCACCAAGCCATTGTGTAAGCCAGGGCAGGGCCCTGCCTCTCTGGGCCTCACCTGAGCAGTGAATATGGAGAGCTTCCAGCTCAGAGGGCCCTCACCCTTCTAGTCCTCTCGGGAACAGATGCTTATCTGAGGCCCATCACTGGATGCCCAGAACGAACACATCCACAGGTCTAGGGCAGACCACCCCACCCCTTTTAGGGGGGCCTGACAAGCCCCATGAATTCTTCACCTGAGTCCCAAGCCAGACTAGTTCTCTTTCACACTGGTACCACCCTAAGATCATTTTAACCCATCTGTGTCTCAGCTTCCTCCTCTGGAATGTTGGGGTAATTTGGGGCTATCTCTTAGAGTGTCACAAGAACATAGGAGAATAGGTGAACCAAGGGTGCCGGACAGGAGTCTATGGATGACAGGATGGACTGATGGACATATGGCCCCACACCCAGGAAAGGGGAGGGTATCTGGGAAAAGGCCTCTCACCAGGGTTCAAACCTGTGACCCTCCCCTTCAGACAATGCCAGATCAGATAAGCTCTCATCAGCCAGAACTGTCCTCACACCACAAAGATTCTCTTTACTGTGACTAAGGCTCCCACCCTCATATATCTGAAAAGGTGCCTTGACTTCCCCTTCTAATTGTTACCCTTCCAGAGAAGTCCACCAGAAACTACCACAGAGATGTAAATGAACCATGGGTGAAGTTAAGTATATAGGGAACAGTAGGGTAGGTGATTCCAGGAAAGTTGTATCCGGCCTCAACACCCCTTCCTGGGTCTGTCACTTCCCCTGGTGTCACTTGGGGCCAGGACTCTCTTCTGACTTCCTGGGTCACCCTGGCTCCCTGCCCCACATTCCTCCTCAGGCCTGTGGTTGGGAGGCTGGGCCCATGCCATTGTGTGTGCCCAGGTCGGTTGGCATGGGAACTCAGAGCAGGAGGCAGGCAGATCACTAATTGCAATTTGCCAAGCTGAATGTCAGAACCATGATGGGGAAAAAAAAAATCAACATCAAAAGAAACAAGTATTAGCTTTGGCTTGTTGCTAGCTGAGCCTGACTCCCACCTCCGCTCCCCACCACAGGGGAGAATCTAACCCTTAGTCCAGGTGGAGGCCAGGCTGGAGGCCAGCCTAAGAAGGGCAATTAGGCCTCAGCTACCAGCCTGGGGAGGACAAGACACAGCAGAAAACAGAGAGCCTTCTTAGCCTGGCCACTGTCCACCAGGCACTGATGTCTTGGCCCTGGCAAAGGGTGGACAATGTGGCAAGTGGCTCTTTGTGATCCTGACAGAGCAGAATCCTGGGGGGCTAATATTGGGATAGACTGCCACACAGTCTTATGTTCTGTCAGGCAGGTGGCAGACAAATGGGCAGGGTCAAGGATCTGATCTTCAAAGGGATCATTAGCTCGGCCCTGGCACTGACCCTGATCCTGATCTCAGCCATTCACTGGTGTAGGGGACAAGATGCCAATCATAATCCTCCCTCAACTAGGACTTGGGGCCTAGCTCAAGTGGTAGAGTGCTTGCCTAGCAAGGGCAAGGCCCTGGGTTCAATCCCCAGTACACAAAAGCAAACAAACAATCATTCCTGAACTAATACGTGCAAAAGCACCCACTATGTACAAAGTACAGTGTCAGCACGTCACAACTCTCTCACTTCAACTCTCACAAAAAAGCAAACACAATCACCCCAACTTATAAATGAGGAAACTGAAGCACAGAGGGTTTAAGTGACCTGTCCAAGGTCACCAGTCCAGGAAGGGGTGGACACAGGACTTGTTCCAGAAGTGTGCTGGAGTCACTAGAGCCAGTTCACAAGAACTGGCCACGTGCAACTCTTCCCAACTCTGCATTCAGTGCTGTCACTTTTAGGGCTTGAAATCAGTCACAGTGGGAACATTTACACCACAGAAATTGGCAAATGCTAGAAATCACAGCTCTTCCCAGCCTTCCCCACCACCCCCAGCAAACTGACAGCTTTTACCAGCACCACTGATTGCACACCAGGCTGGGAACTTTTTTCTGGCCTGTATATAGATCTCTGTTTCTGGAATCTCATGGACAAGTAAAAGAAAATTAATTGGGAGAACAGATATGGATGCCAAGTTTTTATTTTGCTCAGGCAACACATTATTAATATAATCACCATCATTTTAGAAGAACCAAATTTCAGGATAAAATCCAGTTTTTTCCCCAAGACACACATATACGCTACATCTCCCCCCGCCCACGTCTCCTCCTGTCTCTCTCTCTCTCTCTCTCTCTCTCTCTCTCTTACACACACACACACACACACCAACTCCCAGGCTGAGCATCTTTAGACTTTGCTGTGGGCAGCAAGGACTGGCCCACCATGACACATGCAGTCACACATACCTCCTCTTGAGGTCTAGGGATGGCTCTAGCCCTTAGTTTGACATCCTCGGCCTGATTGCAAGACCTCAGGCCCCAGCTCACTGCCCATCAACACAATGCCAGGGAAAACGAGTTACACCGATTCTTCACCTAAATCACGCCCAATTAGGAAGGCAATATGTGTATCCTAGAGTTAAGAAGAACATGGTGGATAATTCACTTCATTGTCACAGATATATGACTCTGTGGGTTCTAAGGTTTGGCCAGTGTCCCAAGTGCTGGCTCCAGGGGAGTGACACATGGGCACCGAGGAGGCCAGGAGATGACTATGCCTGTAGTGCTCCTTCCTCAAAGCTGGAGAAGCCACTCACCAAGCCAAGTTCAACCACAAGCCTGGTGAAGCACAACCAGGCTCATTCCCACAGAAGGATGCATCAGGTTCCATGGCCCAAGTGGGCCAAAGGTAAAGTGATCAAACCCTGCCCACACTCAGTTGACTTGGGCCCACGTACCTGGTTTCACCAATGCCTTCAGGCCAAATAGTGCTGCCTATGGGCTGTACTCCTGGCCCAGAGGTCTACCAGCTAGCTCTCACATCCTGTGATTTTCCATGCTCTTCACTGAAACAACACTGCTTATCTCTAAGTGCTTACAAGTGCCAAATTAGCAAGACAGTGAGAGGAGAGAGTGTCTGGAGGAGACAGCAGCCAGGGGTGGCAGGTACTTCCTGACTGGCGTGGGCATGTAAGGCTGGGGACTGAGCAGTTTTAGATGTGCCAGAACCTGGAGGCAGGAAAGGCACTGCAGCCCCATTTCACAGACAAGAAAACTGAGGCCCCTAGTGAGGATGGGAGTAGGGTCATATATATTTAAAGAGAAGCTAAACCTGTCTCCTTGGATCCATAAGGTCCATGAACTCATCCTTCTAGAATAATGTAGTCTCTGGGAAGCCTTAGGAGAGAGGCTTGTGTGCCCTTGGAGAGTTCTGCCTCCTGGGAACTTCACTTTCCTGTCAACAGGGTTAATAATGACTAGCTGAAGAGTCAGACACTTTGATGCGTAGTATTATTATTGGGCAGTCTCCTGTGGGCTAGTGACCCATCCAATACAGCCCGTTCCCTAAAGATTTAATGGCCCAGAGTGTTCAGGAAATCTTCAATGACCTCACACTTATGGAAGGGTGGCCAGAGGGAGAGTACTGAGGAAAGGCCTGGCAGGCCGAGGCAGCCCAGAAAGAAAAAAATGACACTATGTGCTGTGGGATGCCAGGCCTTGGTGTCTGGAACCAAGAGGAGCAGGGAGGACAAGAAGTATCACCATCAGGGAAGGAAGCAAAGTCATCCATATATGGAGCAAGGAGCTGAGGCCAAGGGCCCCATTAGCAGACAGAACTATTGAGACCACAGCTAGAAGACTAGGGAGGCCTTGGGTCAAACTGGTGGGAGGACTCAGGTGGGGGCCTCCAGATCCGAGGCCAGCTGCAAGCGCTCACCCATAGGGGAGGGGAGAGGAGGCGAGGAGAGAGATGGAGGGGAAAAAGAGAAAAAGCCCATGTGCAGATGCAGTAGCATAGATTAAACTGTTGCCAGTTAATTTTATATGTGAAGTTGTTGATCAGAATGTGATTTAATTGTACAGTATAATCCAGGCTTTTGGAATAAATTATGCAGAAAACTCATCTATAATTAAACAAATCAAAAAACCAGAGACAGGTGACACTGCAGGTTCATCCTCAGAGGGCACAGATGGGTGTGGGTGGCTGGACCCCACAGAGGGGTCAGAAGGGAAAGGAGGGGGCCTTGCTCAAGAGCAGACAGGGGCAGGCCCAGGGGGAAACAGAGGCCGATTGGGGTTGAGAGACTTGGTTCCCCAAGCTCTGCCCCTGCAGGCCTTTCTCACAACGCACAGAGGCAATTTGTGCCACCAAAAAGCTCTGCTACCTCTGCCAGGCAGCCAGTCTGGATAAACCCTGCTCCTCCAGAGGCCACAGCTTAGCAGCACAGCCATCATGAATAGGGTCAGAGGGTGGACACTGGGGGTGGGACAGCAGGTGAAGCAGGAGGTGGGTACTAGGACAGGACAAGGGATGAGAGGGAGCAGAGACAGCAGGGTGAAGCAAGCTTAGTACTGGTGGCCCCCAGGTCTCTTGCTTCTCTCCTGACAGGCTGGCCAATTATTCTCCCAGCTCTGGGGGAGGCAACAATTTAAAATAAAGTACTATTTAATTATTCTGATTATATTTCAGCT